GGTCCAGACTTCCCTTGAAGGAAACATTAAGGACAATCTCAGAGACCGTTTTCATCATCCAGCTCTAATGATTAATGATATTTATTTATGAGTGCATGTGTTGTTTTTGTTCCTTCCCTCCTTTCAGAACGGCTACGACATCACAGAGCTGAAGCGTCCTCTCTGCTCCAGTCTGTCCCAGTCGTCCTCCTGCACCACCGCCCCGCTCATCAAGTCCTCGCCGGGCTCCCAGGAGGAGGTTCATCCGTCCGGTTCCTCCTGCAGCTCGGGCGCTCCCTACCTCAGCATCCCCCACCACCATCACCACCACCACCACCACCAGCAGCACGCCGCCAACTACAACGGCGACGCCACCTACGCCAACTTCACCACTCCTCACGTGGGCAGAGACGTGGACGCGGGCAGCTACGCGGACGCCCCGGCCGGGTCGCGCTCCCACGTGGACTTCAAAAGCTACGTGGCGAGGATCATCTGGGAGGCGGACAACGACAGCGAGGCTTTCCCGCCAGATGCCTACCACGTCTGGTGCGTGGAAGGCTCCGGGTCTTCAGCAGGAAGCCTGAGCTCGCTGGGGTCGGCCGCATCCTGTAGAAACGTCGCCGCCGGCCGGGGAGACAAAGAGGAAGAAGAGGAGGAGGAGGAAGATGATGAAGGGGGGTTTGTTTGTGACAGGCTGTCTCGCTGGGGCCCAAAGTTCCAGGCACTGAGTGAGATGTACGACCGGCCCCAGCTGGCCCTCTCGTACAGGGACGCCATGGCCTACATACAGAGGAGCCACAGCCATGAACCTCTGCCTCATCACCACTAGGGGGCGCTGCACGACCCCAACCACATTTACAGTGTTTGTGTCGGGGGGGAAAGGGACTCGGTGCTGCGTTCATGTCACATCTGAAAACAAAGGAAGGAAGTGAGGTATTCCTCCTGAGGCCTTAATGATATGATCGGCCCTGTTAAGTATTATATTAAATCCATCCATTATCTATACACCGCCTAATCCTCACTAGGGTCACGGGGGATCACCAATTGAATCATTGGTTAACCTCAACATGTTTTTGGACTGTGGGAGGAAGCCGGAGACCCCGGAGAGAACCCACGCTGCACGGGGAGAACATGCAAACTCCACGCAGATCCCGAGTGTCCTCACCGGGATGCAAACTGGCAACCTTCCAGCTGTGAGGTCACGGTGCTAACCACCGAGCCACCTTGCAGCTCATTCATGGATTTGTTTGGTGTAAATCATTTTGAGTTTGTGGATTCCTGAAAGTCAAAATTTGTCCCAACAAGTGATATCAGGTGACAAAAGAAGCAGATGAAGCAAAGTTTGGTAGACTGGTGTTTCTCATTTTTGTAATCCGACACCAAAAAAGCACCATTTTCAAGAAAACTTAATCACATTGTTTTTTCCTGTTTTAGTCCAAAAGTGTATTTTCTGTAGCGTTCTGAATATTATTCAGTCAGAAAGATGTTAATCAAAGACCACATACGGCTTTCAAAATGGATCCAATCAGCTTCAGTCACTGAAAACACCTGCGTAGGTGCACACAAGGAGTTGAAAGCTGATTGGCTGCTTAATTCAGAATCCTCAGTCGTGATTGGCTGCTGACCATCTGATCAGTCTTGAGGAACAAGGAGGAAACCACAGCAGAGAAACAAAACCCAAACTGCTGAATGCTTATGTCATATGCTTTAACGTGGGGTGCATCACATGACCGTGATGGTTTCATTTGTAGAAAAGTGACCTAGAATCACTGGCAGGGTTTCCATTCATTCTCTTTGACCTTCTCATTTGTTGGTTCTTCATTCATTTCAAAAGCTTTTCATCTATTTTGACTGTGAACTAGTTTGTTACCGCTTGTCGGTTGTTCTGGTTTAAAGGCACCAGTAAAGAAGTTCAGTGGCCTCAAAGCAAAGCATCGTCTTACCTGTGAAAACACCTTCAGCAAATCAGATGTGACGTGAACACGGCGGCTCTGCTCCCTGGCGTGGGTCAGCGGCAGCGGAGACGCTTCCAGAGCCAGAGGTCCATCGTGTGATCCTCGTGTTCCTTGGTGCAGAAAACAAGACGCAGGACGGAGACGTTAGAGGTCGGAGCTGAAGCTCAAAATAAAAAATACAAAAAAAAAAAAAAGCACAGAGAAAACTGGTTAATTTACCAGCTTCACACAGGAATATGTCACAGAATTATTTATTTTTTCGCTTTTCTTTTCTTTCTTTCTTTCTTTAAAAGCTGTTCAGTGTGCTGTATTTATTTGTGGGTAGTTTGTGGGTCGCTGAATTTTGTTCTTGGAAAATGGGTGCTTTCAGGGTCAGAAGTTTTTTCTTTTCTGGAGGAAGACTGCCATCAAATTATGCCAGAAGTGTTCAGGGTGAGGAGAGCTGTGTAAAGAATGATTGTGGTTCATTTAAAAACACCAACAACATCACGGCCTTGATGTTGGAGTCTTACAAAGAGAACTCAAAGTTCTTCTTTAAGGGCATTTTAATGTAGCATTTCAATCCTTTTATCGCGACAATTTTAGTTCTGGCCCGAACACACAACCCAAGATCCACAAACAAAAAAAACCCATCTCACAAAGAAATGTTCCCAAGGAAAACTGTTTTTTTTTTTTTTTTTTTTTTTTAA